TAAATAAAACCCATTTTAATGGTCATTTTCCATATTTTAATAGGCTTGATTTTCACTATTTTGCTCCAAATTTTGATACCTTCAGTATCTTGGGAATATGCCACAGGTATTCAAAGAACAGTGGTTATGAAGCATACCCTCCTCCCCAATTACTTCAAGTACATTTTATATTAAACTCTCTGTGAACATGTTTTCCCCCAATAGAATGTAAGCTCCTTGAGGGCAGACAATTTTTCATTTTTTTTTTTTCAGTCTTTGTATCCCCAGCTCCCAAGCACAGTGCCCGGCCACACAGTAGGTACTTCATAAGAATGAATGGGATCCACCAATATCTCAAGCCCTCAAGTGTGCCACAACTAAGCTCGTTTGAGTTTGAGACACTATTATAGTGCACTAACCGATCCTGAGATCACTTCCTCCACAGCAGGACTTAATACAAGAAACACAAGAACTAGCAAGAAGAAAAAGACAAAGAAAAGATTTTAACTGCCTGTTTCAGAACAGAACTTTCCCACTCCCATGAAAAAGACATGAACTCTGGCATTTATCTATCCTTCATTTCTTCAGAGAGCCAGACTCGAGTCAGGAGAACCTGGGTTCAAGCTTTACCTCTGACCTATGTTGTATGACCCCCTCAGAGCCCCATGGTGCAAGCCTGCTTTCCTTCACTGGCAGAAGGGGTTCCTCCATCTAGGAGATCACAGGTCCCAGCCCCTTCTCTCAATTTCCCTAAAAACCCTCCCACCTTAATTGTACCAATCTTCCCCAAAACAGAAATCAAGAACTGTTTGAGGAAAATAGGGCAGTCAAAGTCCAATGTTTTAGGAACACTCACTCTGTAACCTTATGATTTCCTGGGATATTTCCCCAATGTTAAACATTTTTACCAAAAAGAAAAAAAAAAACATTATCTCTCCTTCCCTGTTTGCTCTCACACAGCCATTTACAGGGAGCCCACACACAGTCCAGAAGGACTGAAGCTGTGTTCTCCTCCACAGGTCTAATTTCCTCTTTTCCCTGAGACTGAACTGTAGAGGGATTGAGACTAGGTGGTACACGTGCCTAGCACAATTACCGATGACGGTAAAGGTGGAACTTTTATAAAAGGATGCTTGCACTCAAAAAAGAGGCGGCAGATACAACATGCATTCCAAACTCCAAAGGACTCAAAAAACGAACACTTCAACTGTACGTGTCTCCCAACCACCAGCTACATCATCAGACCATCCAAAGCATTCAGATCTGCCCCTGTCCTACTTCTAATTCTGGAAGTTACACATGGGGGTGGGGGACGAACAGGACAGAGAAGAAAAGACCCAAGATGCAACCCAAACCCAAGCCTTCCTCCAAAATGCCAAGAGGGCAAGTCTTCAGTTTCCCCCACTTTCTTGCCTACAGTGTAGAGTGGAATCATTTCTACCACAGGAGAAATTCCTCACAGGGTTGGTCTGACTAGTCTAAGCTCTGTTGAGCAGCAGGAGTTAAGTCAGTTAGTTCTCAGGTCTCTATTAAATAGAGTCCCACTAATTAAAATCTCCATTCTAATAAGGAAAAAAAATGCATGTACTAGAAAATAAAGCAAGCCCACCATCCCTTTTTTCCAGCTACATGGATCCGACATCTTCAGTCCAAACACTGAAGTCAGAATAAAGGTGAAAAGACACCATGATGAAGTCCATTGAAGATAAATGGAATATATAAATGAGTTCTTTAAATGTGCTTTTGAAGTAAATCACTAGAAATACCCAGAGAGGCTCATGGTTTTTTGTTTTTTTTGGGGGGGGGGGGTTGTTATAACATGGAAAAAAACCAGAAACTTTGTGTTCTAGTTTTCTCTAATTGTTACCTTAAATTGCTTATTGGGTGATCTGAATTTTGACTTGAGCCAGATTCACCAACCATTCCTTTAAGTGCTTTATGTTATGAAGCCCTTTAGGCTGGAGGCAAGATGGATTAAATAAAACCCAGTCTTTTCTTTCCCTACCTTTCTTATAATCTATCAGTGAGGGACACAACATGTAGGCACTGAACAAAATAGAATATAAAGAGAGTACACCAAGGTGCCAAGACAGAGAGGAGGAGAAAAGTTAAGATCAAAGATCAGTGACAGGGGTTAAGAAGGGTGGAAAAAGAGAGAAGGAGGCAGGGGAAAGCTCCATCCAGATGATGGTGTTTGAAGTAGGCCTCAGAGGCTGGAGAATAAATAGGAAAAACCAGTCTTCTTCTGCCCTAAGAATGGATATTAACTTTGCCCTATCAGTTCCATAGTGAGAGACTTCCTCTCTCAAGGAGGTCAAGTCTGCCACTAACACTCTTTTAAAAGTCTCTCAAACTTCAATTCAAACAAAAGAAAGTGTTAAGAAGACTCAATATGTAAAGAGTAAGGTTTCGTTTTTTCCTAAAAGAGGACTCATTTGAAGCTAATTCAAGATATGCCAGGGTTAAATTAAGTTCTCTCTAGCTCCTTTTTAAGTTTATTTCCCCCTCCCTATCTCCCTGTCCCACCCCCCAGGAAAGACCCAATATCCAAAACCTAATATAAAAGGCCCAGCTAAGTAATTTCAATTCTGCAAAGCTCATGGGGTCAAAATTACCAAAGAGACAAATGCATCCTCAGAACCATCAAAGAAATCATTTATACCAATGGGAAAGTCACATACCCCAAACAAACAGCAAACCCATTGTAGAGATAAACCCAGCTCCTGTTCTGACAACACAGAATCTATTTCAGGCTGCATAAAACATAACAAGCAAAATAAATCCAAGGTACAAGCAAAATGCTGCTGCTTCCTCTTTTGTTTCGGGCACAATGCAACAAGGGCAGCCTGTCTGGGGCTCTGCTCCTGCTGATACAGGATTTGCTGCTGAACCTCCTCAAGGTCACAGCCAATTTCAGTTCTGGAATAAAAGGCAGATAGTGGCAGTGATGGTTTGGGTTATCACTGGCAGAAAAGCAGAGTGTAAAAGTTTATGAGCTCATCAGGATTGTTGTACCATTACATCAGAGGCAATTATAAATGGCCAAGAGCAGGAGATGGGGAGCCAATCAGATCACAGATAGGATGTCAACCTAAGACCAACTGTCTCCTGGCTTTGACAGAAGGATTTTACCTCCATAATTCAAATCCCAAACCAAAGCAATCTGCACTCACTACTCCAATCACTCAGCTGTTTACCAGCGCTTCCAGGGAGAAGCCCAGGCCACTGGGCCAACAGAGACCAAGAAAGGAGATGGCCCGGGCCGACCTGGACATGCTGCAGCCTGGCTCTAGCCGACCAAACGAGGCCCTTTCCCTCCCTCCAAGGGCCTCAGGGACCAAGGGGCCCCCCTGGGCCCGACTGCAGGCAGGGAAGGGGCTGCCCAGGGAGGGCCCATGTGCGGGAGGGTGGGGAGTAGGAGAACTTCCCTGGAGGCTGGGCAGAGGCTGCCAGGGGCTACACCCCAAAGCCCGTAAGAAGCACGCGACGCCCCCCGATCCTGGGCCTGGCCCGTGCCCTCCCCTCTCCCCCAAGCCCTCCCAAGAGCGCGCACCCCCAGCCCCAAAGGCAGAGGCGACGGAGGGTAGGCGAAAGCCCCCGAGACGGCTCTGTGGGAAGCCCCACACAAAGGCTGGAGAGCCCAGGCGAGGAAGGCAGCAAGGCAGCCATTTTAGGAGCAGAGAAGAGTGAGACAATGGCAGCTCCCCAGCCGGGTGGGCCCGGGCGGGCCGGGGGCCCCGGCGCCCCCCTCCCCGCCCCGGCCGGCAGCTCGCTCGCCCCCCCCTCCCCGGCCGCCTCCCCCTCGGAGCGCTCCCTTTACCTGCGGGGTCCGGGTGAGCTGCTGCCCGGCGCCGCCGCTGCTGCTCCCGGGGCTCATGGGCGCGTGGTGGCTCCTTTGTTGGCCGGCTCCCGAGGCGGCCGACCCCCAGGCCTGGCCGCTGCCCGCGTACTGCGAGGCCAAGTCCGCGGGGCCCTTGGCGGCGCCCCCGTCCTGGGGCCCGCCCCCGCCGTAGTCGCTGCCGGGGTAGCCCGGGTAGCCCCGGGCCGAGCTGGGCGACGTGAGCAGCTGGTTGAGGGTGGGGGTGGCCGTGGGCTGCGGGGTGCCCCCGCCGGCCGCCGCGGGGCCTCCTCCGCCCATGGCCCCAAAGCGCTGAGGAGGGAAGGACGCGGCGGCGGCGGCGGCGGCGGCGGCGGCTGCCGAGGCCGAGGCGCTGGACGCGGGGGGAGGCTTGGAGCCGGCGGCGGCCGAGGCCGGGCCCGGGGCGCCGCCTCTCGGGGAGCCCAGCGCGTAGGCCTGGGGGGGCGGCGGGTAGGCGCTGCGGTTGGGGTAGTAGGAGTTGTACTGGTGGTTGGGGAAGCCGTGGTCGCCGTGCGAGTTCTGCGGGGGCCCCGCGTAGGGCTCCAGGCCGCCGCCGCCGCCTCCGCCGCCGCTCTGCAGCGCTGCCAGGCCAGGGCTTTGTTGTCCGCCATGTTGGTGGAAGACAGCGGCGGCCACGGCGGCGGCGGCGGCCACGGCCGACGGGCTCCGGCCGTACGCCTGCCCGAAGCCGTAGGCGGGGGGCGGCAGGGCGGCCGCGGCGGCGGCCGAGTGAGGAGGCGGCGGCGGCGGCGCCCCCACCCCGTCGCTGCTGCCGCTGCTGCCGCCGCCGCCACCACCGCCGCCGGGCGGCTCCGGGAGGTTATTGTTCAGGGCGGGCCTGGGCCCCGCGTTCCCGTTGGAGTTCTTGAGGTCCGGCTCCGCGCCGGCCCCGCCGCCGCCGCCGCCGCCCCCGTTGCTCTCGGCCCCGTCCTGGAGCTCCTTGCCGAGCGGCGGCGGCGGCCCCCCGGCGGGGCCCTCGCTTTCCGGGCCGCCGGCCGCTGCCTTCATCTCCCCGCGCTGCTGCTCCGCCGCCGCCGCCGCCTCGCCCCCCGCCTCCTCTCGCTGCTGCTGCTGCTGCTGCTCCGCTTTCTTCAGCTCCGAGGGCGGCGGCGGCGGCGGGTTGCCCAGGCTGCTAGCGGTGGCGGGGGCGACCTGCGCGGCCATGATCCCCGCTGTCTCCTCCGCCGCCAAGCGCCCCGACCCGGGCCTGTCTTCTCCTCCTGCTCCCCCCCACCCCGGGGCCGAGTCCCCCGGGCTCCCCTCCCCACCCGCCGGGCGGGCCTCGGCTGCTGGCGCGGCTCGGGCTCTCGCTCTCGCTCGGGCTCTCGCTCGCTCGCTCAGCTCCTCTCTCTCCCCCCCGCCCCGCCGGCTCAGGCTCCGAGCTGGCGGCGGCGGCGGAGGAGGAGGAGGAGGAGGAGGCGGCGGCGGCCGAGGGGGCGCCGGCGGCTCAGCTGCTCCTGGCTCTGGGGGCTCGGTGCCCGGGTCCCCCGGCTCATTCCCCCAAGCCCTGGCCTGGGAATGAGGGGGGCGGTGGAGGCTCCGCTCCCCAGGGCCTGGCCCCGCTGTGACTCTCCGCTTTCTGCTGCCGGAGAAAGGAGGAGGGAGGGGGAGGGGGATCGGGGAGGGGGGAGGGAGGGAGGGAGCAGGGGGGGAGGGGGACCCGGGACAGGCGGGAGGCGGCAGCAGCGGCGGCGGCGGCCGGGGGGCCGTGCGGGCAGCGGACTAGGGAGGGGCGGGCCGGGCCGCTGCCCCTGCCTCCGGGGCGGCTGCTAGGGGCCGGGGCTGCTGCGGGGCGGGCGGACGGCCGGACTGAGCGGCTGGAGCTCCCCCACTCTCCTCCGAGTCCCCCTCACTCCGACACGAGGCTCAGCACTGCCATTTTACCCAGCGCCGCCACGGCCGCCTGGCAAACTCGGAGCGGAGTGCAGGCCTTGGAACGGACTCTCCTCCGGGCCCCTCACAAAGGAGGAGGAGGGAGGCGAGAGGCGGCAGCAGCAGCAGCGGCGGCACCAGGCCCCGGGCCCCTTCCCCGCACTCAGCAGCGCCGCCACCGACGGCGCCGGGGAAAACCCGGAACGGAGCCGTTCCTCCTCCGGAGCCCGCCCCGCCTCCCTCTTCTGTCCTCTTCCCCTCCCTTCCCCTCCTCGGCCGCACCGAGGGGAGCAGGCGGCGTGAACTTTACCCGCCGAGGCCAAACTGGCCCGGGCCCGTGGCTGCCCGGCTGCGGTGCGCCCGCGGCCCCCGCGCCGCCGGGGCCGGCTCCGCGCCGCCTCCTGGCCTCTCCGGAACACTTTTCTTCTTCCAAGCCCTTGACAAACCCGAAGGAAAGCCCCAGCGCGGCGAGCGCAGCCCCTTTTCAGCCAGGAGAGAGAGATCATTGTTCAGCTTGCAGACACTTTCCATTTTCCCATTTCCCTGCCCTCATTAGCCCTTCTGACAAGGCCCCGGGGGCATGGGGGCCGGATTATCCCCATTTTACAGAATTGAAAGACAGAGGGGGAGGGATCCTGCTCCAGGTCACTCAAAGTCAGGGGCATAGAGGACGGCTTTAATAAAAAAAATACCCTACCCCAAGGTTGGGGCTTGGGATCCGCCGCCAGGCCGGCTTAGCCTCTTAAAAAAAAAAAGTGGTCTGTCAATTTGTGAACAAACAGAACAATAGGATCAAAATGAGTTTGGGATCAAAGCAGAAGGCGCGGGACTGACCTAAAATGGTTAGCACCCCGGCAGCTTTGGTGGCCACTCGGCACTCTAGGGGTCAGGAGTACAGAAGCCTCCTCAGGTTTGCCTCTCAAGACAATTGTGCCCCCCATTCCTCTCTCTAAAAAGACAAAAACTTTTATGCTTACAAGGACCCGAAAGCTGTAAACTTTCATATAGGCTAAAAGGGCCCGGAACCATTTTTTTTTTCCTCAAGTACGAGAGAATTGGACCGGGCAGCTTGGAACCCACCTGGTCCAAGTAATGTGTATTTCGGGCTGCCAGGAGAATCGGTGCTGCTGGACTTGAAACTCCAATTCCACATTGCAGAGGATGCAAAAACTTTCAATTGCACAATGGTAAGAATTGAGAGAAACCAAAACGTCGCGTTCCCTGGCCCGACAAATCTAAAGTGAACAAACCACTGAGAAGTGCACTTCAGTTCTACTCTTCTACCTGGCAGGCTATGGCATGCAACTGGCCCATCTAATCCACAGTCGCTTCTCTGTCCTGCAACTGACTTGGAATATTCTTTGAAGGAGGCCTCATTGTTTTGCTCTGTCATGACAGGCTATGAAAACCAGAGAGGATTCCAGCACACCAGCAGCACTGGAATCTGCCTTTTGAGGGGCCTCGTCCTGTGTCACCAGACACCCTAGGCCCCTCTTCCATAACCAGATTTTGTGTTTTGTGAAAGTCGAAGCTCATAGACTAAAGAGTCTTGTGGGGCCCTAGAAGAATTCATCAGCCGAGTTCATTTTAAAAGACTCTTTGTTAGAATTTCTGCTCCTCCTGATATAAACACTGTTGCTCTGAAAATGACATCTTTATCAGGTCGGCTTTAGGGACCAAAAAGTGACTACAATTTAGAAAAGGGACTTGTTAAATTGTATGCTTCCTGAGGTCAGGGCACTTATCTTAGGGAGGCAGCCCTGAACACTGGAAAAAAAAACGCTGACTTAGGGTCATTGGACCTGGGTTCAAATCTAGTCTCTGATCATGTACTACTGCCTGTGTGACCCTGGGTACTTCATAACCTCCCAAGGTTGTGGTTTCCTGGTCTATAAAATGAGGGGGTTGGACGCTAAGGTCTCTGAGGTCTCTCTCAGTTCTAGATCTCTGATCCCATGATCCTTCTTCCACTGAACATACCTGCCAGGGCCTAGTATTCTCCCATACAGGCAAAAGAGAGATGTACAGATTAATCCATACTGATTGTATCTTTATGAAAGGGAAGCAATCTGGGAGATCTCCAAATCTGATATTTATACTTTCCAGCAAAAAAGCACCAAGAGCCGTGTTTGGACACGAAAACCAACTGACTTGGCACCTGTTTAAATAATGGAGGCCTTGATGTCCTATGATAGAAAAAAAGCCCCCAAAGGCCTCTTCCCCACTCCTACCCCCTCTTTTTGCCACTAGTCCTCCAAAATACATGATGACAGATCTGAAGTCCCTAGATCACACCAGCTCCTAGCTGGGCAAGCTGCCACTTCAGTGATAGTTCTGGAGGGGGACAAAAGGTAATATTCAAGAGCTAAAACATCAGTTCACTTCTTATTTAGCATGATAGGAGAACTTACCAACTTCTGCAGGCCCCAGGGATCTTGGCCAATCAATTCACTGGTGACCACAGTGAATTACAAAAGTCAAAGTAGTCTAGACTATCCCTCACAAAGGAGATCAGAAGACTTCAAATACTCTCCAATGAATCTAAGGGTGACAAATGAGGCTGGAGACCGTGGTTCAGAGGAACCTCTGGCATTTATTATATTTTTATTTACTTTTTTAAAATACTAAGCAACCAAATCAAATGGCATCCAAAATAGATTTGGAAAACTGACTGGAGTGGGCCAGTGCCCTCATTTCACTAGGAGTCCTCAGGGGCTACAAATCTCTTGATGCATGAGGTCCTAGAAACCAATTACAGGCTGCCTCATAAAGGGAGCTTGGCTATTTAATCAAGTGCCTCTAAACTGGCAAACAGTCCAGGGTCCTGCACACAAATGAGGAATTTTTACATGCAATTACCCTGCTGTTTTCTTTACAGAGAGCTGTGGTGTAAGAAGAAACCTGGAGCTGAATGAGAATCTGGAACCCAGAAAGGATTTTCTCCAAATTAGGCCCTCCTCATTTGCCCAGTGGCCGTGAAACACAGAACCAGCTCCAACATCCCTCATTCCAAGCAGAGACTGCACGTGTGGGTTCTCTGTATTAAAAACAACCACCATTTTACCCAGTGATGAGACAGGCGGCTGAAAGTCCATTCAGCTGGGTTGGAAGATGACAAATCAAGTTTTTTCCCCTCCCACATCTCATCCCAAAGTGGGTGGGAGGTGGGGGTGGTGGGAAGCTTCCACCTTAAAGTGTTTTCCCCCAACCCCCTCAGCCCTGCAACCACCAAGCTAGAGAGGCATGCCAGAGACTAGAGGCAACTTTCTTTGTAACTGGTCCAGCCGCCCTCACTAGAGGCAATGGCAGCTGGGAAATGAGGGGAGGCTAGCTGGGCACGTGGTTTGCCCAGGGATCCCAGTCCCCCGGCTGGCCCAGGCTGTGAGATCCTTGGGTGGGGACTGTGGGTCCTCCCCCTGGTGGAGTTTCTTTCCTCAACGGCCCTTGCCATTTAACCCGGCAACCTGGCAGCCCAGGAAACCCGGTGTAGATTGGAGGGCTTGGACCAGGACACAGAGGGTCCCTCATGAAAAGTGCTTCTGCCAGCAGCAGCCTGATGGCAAATATGGACTGAATCGTTGACATGGAAACCGGACTAAAGTCTCTCCTCTCCTCAATTCTCTCTCTCTCTCTCTCTCTCTCTCTCTCTCTCTCTCTCTCTCTCTCTCTC